GTTTGGCGGGTCCGGGCTGGATTCGAACCCGCCACCTTAGGTGTATGTGGCTGGCGCCTTGAGCCACAGGTGCCGAGCCGATACACCCTTTCTATTCAAGCAAAAAGTTGGAAAGGGAATTTGTGTTGCTTGAGAGTTCCTTCTCTATATTCTTGGAGTCCATGCAAGAATAGAATTTACTGCAGGAGCATGGAAGTTGCAGAGGTCTGTGCTTCTGCAATTTCCACAAAACATTCCATACAACCCAACTTGGGCTCACATGGTGGCAGCCTCTAAACCAGTGGTTCTAAATCTTCCTAATGCCACGGCCCTTTAATATAGTTCCTGTGGGTCATGACCCACAGGTTGATTCTCTGTTTGCTTCAGCCCTCTTGCTCCTCTCTTCCCAAACCACAGCCAGCCCCCCATCCCTCTTCTCTCTGTCAGCATTGAATTCATCCCAGGGAAGTTTTGACGGCCCAGATAGTAATAGCTGCCATCTATAGGACATCTGCTAGGTGTCAAGCTCTGGGGGGAAGGCTTTAGAGACTTTTTACTTATTCTCTTAGAGAGGCTACCATTAACCAAATGTTCTAGGTAAAGAAACTGGTCCACAGAAAAGTTGACTTCCTGAGACCACATCGCTCTTTAAGTGACTGAGCTGAGAGCTGTGGGGCTCTTCCCGCCCCTGGCTCCCAGGCCTAGCAAAGTATGAAGCCACCCCTTCATCATGTGTCTGCAGACCTCTCCCAGAGTTCCTCGCCACCCTCACTGCTGGACCAGCTACAGATGGGCTATGACGGGGCCTCATGTGGCAGCCTCAACATGGAGTGCCGGGTGTGTGGGGACAAGGCATCAGGCTTCCACTATGGTGTTCATGCCTGCGAGGGGTGCAAGGTATGGACCATGGGGTGGGGGTGGTGGCTGGCCATTGGGGTCATAGTCAGATGGGGAGTTGACCTACCATAAAGGCTCTCTGGCCCGGGGTGGGGCTCTGACAGTACCCACTGTAGAGTGGCCCTTGGGCTTGTTCCAGGCCTCTGCTCTGGGGTCTTACAGGAGAGGAGGGGGTTCCATTGTCAGGCCTATCCTTTTACTACCTGCAGGGCTGACACAGGTGCTCACTTAGACTCCATGGGCCACTGATGCCCCCTGGGGACCAGGCTCCAGAAGGCAGGCAGGACAGGACAGAATGAGGGTCTTTGGCTGAGCTGTCTTCTGAGGTCAGAGTTTCCTGTGTCTCAAGGCTTGAAGGGGGCTTTTTGAGAAAAAAGGAAACATATTTCTTTTTCCAGTGATCCTTCTGACTACTTCCTCCTGATTTCATAGTGTCAAAATTTCACAGGTTATTTTATTGAACCACCACCTAGAAGATGCACAGAACCAAATACATTTATGAATAAATCAAGTTAACCATGATATGGTTACCAAACTAACAAAGAAGCTTTAGGATTTCTTTAGGCATTTAAAATAAATAATTAAAAATTACTTTAATTATTTTAGAAGTTTTAGAGTTTTTTACTTTTCTTCTCCATCTCCCCTCCAAAAAGATTTTCCACTTTGAGGAATTCCCAAATTTCAGGAGTTTTTACATCTTTATAATAATGAGGCCCTTTGGCATGAGCCAGTGGGCAGAGCAGGATCCTCATCCTCTTTTCTCACCTGTCCTCGGTCCCTCAGGGCTTCTTCCGCCGGACGATCCGCATGAAGCTGGAGTATGAGAAGTGTGAGCGGAGCTGCAAGATCCAGAAGAAGAACCGCAACAAGTGCCAGTACTGCCGCTTCCAGAAATGCCTAGCACTGGGCATGTCACACAACGGTGAGAGTAGCCAGGGCAGGTCACCAGGGTGCTGGCACCACACAGCCTGAAACCAGGTTCAGGGAGCAGCCTGAGAGCAGTGCTGGCACCTCATAAACACTACGGGTGTCTTCTGGTGACTCAGGATCTTGGAGCCTAGGACCTGCCACTTCCCCAGACCACCCAGAATCCACCAGGGGCCCCAGGTGGGGCAGTTAGTAAGCAGCCACATACGTCCGTTGCCAAGAGCTAGGCAGGAGGTCCTTAGAGGCCAGCCACTACCAGGTCACCTAGCCTTCTCTGTCCTGTGCCCCAGGCCTCCGCAGAGTCTTCAGACCTCTAGGGTAGGATATTGCAAAGCCCACCTACCCTCTCTGTACCCCTCAGTACATAGAACAGAGAAAAGCCTCTTGTTTAATTATCACTATGGATGGGTCAACTTTTGGACAACTTTTACCCAGGGACGGCCTAACTGTCTTATATCTTAGAGGGTGGCAGGACCTGTGGCTCTTCCTGGCTAATGGAGTCTAGCAGGTCAGGGTTTGATCCGTGTCTTCAGTCTGTATATGTCCTGACCCTGTTCCTTGGATGGGTTTAAGGGATTTCCTAGGAAATCTCAGCTGAGTGAATTCTTCCCCTTGTTTTTACTTTGAGAGAAGCTGCATTCATATCCTGCTCTATTACTGTTCTGGTCTTTTTTTATTTTTGCAGTTTTTGACCAGGGCTGGATTTGAACCCACCACCACCTCTGGTATATAGGGCTGGCACCCTACTCCTTTCAGCCACGGGTGCTGCCCCTCTATTACTGTTAATGACAATTTTTGAGTACTTACTATGTGAGTACTCTTATATAATTATTTCAACAGCCCAGTAAGTTTTAAGGAATATTAGCCTCATTTTTCTGATTTAAAAAGAAAGGTGAGGTAGCCTTTCCAAAGTCACACAGCTACTAGGCTACTGAGCTGGAACCCAGGCACAGCTTTGTCACCAAATGTTGTCTTCCTGCACTGCCTCTCAGCCAAGTAACTCAGTTGCAATGTGCCAGGCACTGTGAACCAGACATACAAAATCTATTCCCTCATGAGCTCAGATCCTGGAGGGGCCACCCCAACATTCCCACTTTGCTCACTCTAGAGCTTCTGAGGACCCTGGGCTCAGAAAGGATACTTCTGCCATTGGCCCATGCACCTATAGAGGGATAGGTTGAGGTGCTGACCTCTGCCTGGGCTCCTTGATGACTGTCCCTGCTTGCTGTGTAGCCATCCGCTTTGGCCGGATGCCAGAAGCTGAGAAGAGGAAACTGGTGGCGGGGCTGACGGCAAGCGAGGGAAGCCAGCACAACCCACAGGTGGCTGATCTGAAGGCCTTCTCCAAGCACATCTACAACGCCTACCTGAAAAACTTCAACATGACCAAAAAGAAGGCCCGCAGTATCCTCACGGGCAAAGCCAGCCACACGGCGGTGAGTGTTGCTGCTTGGCCTAGTAGCATCCTGGGCTCTGGGCCCTGCTGCTGCCTGCCTGGCTCTGGGTAGAGCCAGGCCTCCTCCCTCCCCTAACTTCATGGTACAGGCAGAGGCTGTGGGAAGCACAGGGTGGGGGCCCCCTGAGGCCTCACCTCTAATGGGGCCTGGTTTTCAGCCCTTTGTGATCCACGACATCGAGACATTGTGGCAGGCAGAGAAGGGCCTTGTGTGGAAGCAGCTGGTGAATGGCCTGCCACCCTACAAGGAGATCAGCGTGCACGTCTTCTACCGCTGCCAGTGCACCACGGTGGAAACTGTGCGGGAGCTCACTGAGTTTGCCAAGAGCATCCCCAGCTTCAGCAGCCTCTTCCTCAATGACCAGGTGACCCTTCTCAAGTATGGTGTGCACGAGGCCATCTTTGCCATGCTGGCTTCCATTGTCAACAAGGATGGGCTGCTGGTGGCCAATGGCAGTGGCTTTGTCACTCGTGAGTTCCTGCGAAGCCTTCGCAAGCCCTTCAGTGACATCATTGAGCCCAAGTTTGAGTTTGCGGTCAAGTTCAATGCCTTGGAACTTGATGACAGTGACCTGGCCCTGTTCATCGCAGCCATAATTCTATGTGGAGGTGAGTGAGGGAGAGCAGGTGGACCAGTCCCACACAGCCAGTCCTTCCGCTCTCACTGCAGGGCACCATGCCTGAGTTTGGACAGCATGAGGAAATGTCCCTGTTATAATGACAGTGGAACATGCAAGGAACTGTCTGACACACAGGATCAGCTCAATCTCATGATATCAGTAGATGGAGGTAGTGATAGAAAAAACATTGCAAAGAAGTAGACCATCTACTGGGGGTTATTTCTAAGTAGTGGAGAAATTTTCTATATTTTCCATGCATTTTTCAAGTTCCAGCACAAATACAGTAATAACCATGTTACCCAGCATTGGCACAGAGCTTCATGCCAAGCACTGTTCTAGTTTCTTTTTATCGCTTATAACTCATTTGATCCTCACAACAACCCTGTAGGCCGCAGGCATCCTCAAACTATTGCCCGTGGGCCACATGCAGCCCACCTAGGACATTTATCTGGCCCGCTGGGTGTTTTTGCCGCTGCTGCCTGTCCTGCTTAGCAGCTGACTCGTCCCAGTCCGGCCACAGTCTGGCCCTCCAACAGTCTGAGGGATAGTGAACTGGCCCCCTGTTTAAAAAGTTTGAGCACCCCTGCTATAGGGGAGGCACTTTTACTATCCCCATTTTATAGATGAGAAAACTAAAGCCCAGAGAAGCCAAGTGACCTTCTAATAGCCTCACCCATAGTCTGTGGTAGACACAGGATTTGAGTCCAACCATTGAGTCTCTTAACTACAATCCTATACTGCCTCATCAGAAGGAAAAAACAATTGGTAAAATCAAAAGAAGTGGGCTAAGACCAGGGCAGAAAGACTAGAACACCTGGTGGAGCCATCACTGACAGGACAGGGCTTGATCTGTTATAGCCAAGGAGGCCTGCTATCCCCTGGTCCCAGTCACCATGCTGGGTGGGGATAGGAGAGCTGCTTTGCCTTTCTGAACCCCTCATGTGTCCTTTGTCCCCGCAGACCGGCCAGGCCTCATGAACGTGCCACAGGTGGAGGCCATCCAGGACACCATCCTGCGTGCCCTTGAGTTCCACCTGCAGGCCAACCACCCTGATGCCCAGTACCTCTTCCCCAAACTGCTGCAGAAGATGGCTGACCTACGGCAGCTGGTCACTGAGCACGCCCAGATGATGCAGCGGATCAAGAAGACAGAGACTGAGACCTCGCTGCACCCCCTGCTCCAGGAGATCTACAAGGACATGTACTGAGGGACAGTGCCCAAGTCTCTCTGCAGGCTCCAATGGGGCTAGCGTGGGAGGCCCCCCATGTGACTTTTCTATAATCAGCCCACAAGCACATGACCTGGCCTAGAGCGACAGAATCACTCACTCATGCTCAGACTTATGCGGCCTCTGGCTCCCTGTGTTCCCTTTCTCCCACTCCCACACCCCAACTCTTCCTGTCTTTGTGGTCTCCCTCTTTCTCAGTTCCTCTTCTGATTTCCCTTGTTCTTTTTCTTCCTTTCTCTATAGGTTTCCTACTCTCTCATTCCCTTGCCCTCCCTTTCTCTCTTCCCATCCCCACATCTGTCCCTCTTTCTCATTCTGTGAGACATTTGTATTATTTCACCAGCAGCATAGAACAGGACCTCTGCTTTTGCACACCCTTTCCCCAGGAGAAGGGAGTAGGGCCTGCCATCTGCCTGTCACTGAACCCACAGGCTTAGGGCCTCACTCTGTCTCCTGTCTTCAGAGCTAAAGACTTGAGCCATCCAAAGAAACACTAAGCTCTCTTGGCCTGACGTCCCAGAGACTACAGCAACAGCCTATAGTCCGGGGTCCCTGCTGTGAAGGACAGTGAGCAGGGCCTAGGCTGAGAGCTGACACCTCCCCCAGATTTTCACTGCCCCTCACCCCCCACCTGACCTAACCAGCCCTACTATAGCAGTAGGGCTGCTGATACAGTAGCATCCCGGGCCCGCTGATACCCAGCATCCTTCCATTCTTCCCACTTGTTTTCCAGGCCAGTGTCGCTGATGGGCCCATGCGCTGGGCCGCTGCAGGGTACTCCCCCAGCCTGGAAGGAGACCGGGTCCCCTCCAGGTGGGGAGACCCTGCACCCTCCTAAAGTGGAGCAAGTCTCAAGGGAAGTAGGTAGAGATTAGTGGTGGAAGAAGCAGCACACTTAACTCTCCCCCAGAACTTGGGTTCTGAGTCCTGGGGTCAGAGACCAGGGAGAGCTTGGGGCAGGTCCTCCATTAGCAACCCTACTCCCCCTGCCCTTTAACAGCCACCCATATTGTGTCAACCCTAGTGCCTGGCCCTGGCCTCCATTGCAAACCTCTTTTCTCTAGCCAGCCAAGCTGAGGCTCAGGCCCCCACACACTCCCTGGAGCTGTGACTCCAGCCCACACAGCAAGCACTGATATCACTTTACCTGCAGGTTCTGCACCCTCCCTCTCTCCACCTCTCCCAGAGGCAAGTGAGTGCCCAGAGAGAGGCCTGCATGTGGGCAAGCAGAGCTGCACCCCTTTCTCCAGGGCTGGGCTAGATCTCTGGGTGGCAGGGGTTCCCTGCTGATCCTGTATATTCTGATGTATTTTGTCCCAGCAACTCTGATGCCCTCCACTTCCCATAGATTCAGCCCAGCCAGTCACAGAAATTCCCCCTGCACAACCTGTGGTTACCAGGGACCTTGTGGAGCACAGTCCCTCACCTCTGGCTCCTGTCCTCCCCTGCTCCCAGGTGGAGGTGCCCTTGCCTCAGAGGAGGGGCCAAAGCACAACTTGGAGTGTCATGTCTGAGTAGGAAGGCAGAGAGCCACCCAGGCTGCAGGTTGACTGGCTAGGGTCTCAGCAGGGGAGCTGGGGTTAGAGCCCAGCTTCCTGTGTCCTGTCTGTTCCTCCTTCCTGAGGAGCCATTCCATCTGATATGGCTCTGGGAGGAAGTGCCCTACATTTGCCCAGCCAATGCTGAGGCCTTCTATGACCCAGGATCACTCTCCTGGCATGATTCTTCCCTCTGGCCACCCCTCAACCTGGCTGAGCAGGAGTTGGCTTAGGGGTGCTTCCTTTCAGGCCAAGGCTGTGAAGGGAGAGCTGTTGTGCCCGCCCTCCCCCACCCCACCCGGTCTGGTGCTGAGGATACAGCTCTACTCAGTGTCTGAACAATCTCCAAAATTGAAATGTATATTTTTGCTAGGAGCTCCAGCTTCCTGTGTTTTTAATATAAATAGTGTACACAGACTGACGAGACTTTAAATAAATAAGAATTAAATATTTAAGAGTTGACTTTAAGCCAATTCAGTCCTTTGTGTGTTTTTCCTGGGACTGATTGGATTCCTCCTCCTATAGAGAAGCTGGCTGGGCAGAGGAGGCTTTGGGGCACTGCAGGTCCTTCTCCCCTCCTCCTCAGCTCATGGCTGTCAGTGAGGGGACTGAGAGCTGCTACCCCCAGCCTACAGAGAGAATGAGGTCAGAGGAAGAGAAGGGTATGCATACTCAGAGAAGGCTGTGTGGTGCCTGGCGCTCATTAGGGGTTGTGCAGGGATCTGGAAGGTATGCGGGAGGCACCATGCCCTAGGCAAGCCTTGTATGATGCGCAGGACTCGGTCACCAAAGCCAGTTTGTCACCCCCACAGAGGTTAGGGTGTTCCTCTCAGCCATTACCCCAGTTTACTTTGGTACCAGCAGAGCCTGGCGCTGGCAGCAAGGGGTTGTCTGCAGTGTGAGGCCACATCAGGGTACGTAACCATAACCGGATGTGTTTGTCTAGTCAGGAAAACAAAACCACTGCTGAATACTTCCAAGTGAGGAATTTACTACAGGGAACTATTACAAAAGCACTGAAAATATTACCAGTCTGGCTGCCTGGCATTGTCAGCCAATGTGTAGAGACGGGGATAGGTCTATTAAACTTTGTCAGAAGGCTGGCAATTCTAGAGAACTGTAAGAATAGTCTCTTTAAGACAGTTCATCTGGTGGCTCGGCACCTGTGGCTCAAGCGGCTAAGGCGCCAGCCACATACACCTAAGGTGGCGGGTTCGAATCCCCAGCCCGGGCCGGCCAAACAACAATAATGGCTGCAACCAAAAAATAGCCGGGCGTTGTGGCGGGCGCCTGTGGTCCCAGCTACTTGGGAGGCTGAGGCAGGAGACTC